CCATTCCCATTTCATTTTGTTGCTGCTCCTCCTATATATTTCTCTCTCATCTATTTTCCTCTGCTTTTTGCCTGTCCCAACCTTTTCTGTATTCATACTGATTATCAGCTGGAGTGGTCTGTGTGCATATATTCTAAACACTTACTATAAAGTTCTGAATTAAAATCTCAGTTGTCCTAGCTCTAATGACAACAGGGTCAAAGAGGATCTTTTGAGAAAAATTGTGGCTGAAAATGCTTGGAAGAAATTACATTCTTGCCATGGCATTCTTCCCATGTTGTATCTGAAAAGCTACTGGAAAAACAGCTCTAGTCTGATGAAGCCTTTCAGTTGAGCTCAGATCCCCCAGACAGTGGAAAATGTTGCTTTGACCCACCCAAATAAATTCAGCTCAGAGGCCTCTTCTGACTCTTTGGTCACCAGCAAGCTTGGAAAAGTTCTTAAAGATCTCTTCTGTGTTTAGGTCTGGTATATTTAATTACATGTTATAAATTTGATAAACCCATTTTAGGGAAGAAGAATGTAGAAGTCAAAAGAAGGGGGTGGGTGGGGAAACACCTTTTGCTTCTTGCTGTTAGAAAGACTTAATTCTGGACTGAGGGAAATAAGGCTTGACACCAAATGGTATGTTTCTGTTAACGGACCAACAGGAAGATCTCCCTCCATCTGAGTAGGAGGATGTTAATGACTTGTTACAGTTTGTTTGATGGGAATTGGAATTTATTGTGGTATCTGGTAGCATCCATCTTTCAGTTCTTCATCTGTTTTGATAAGGCAAAAATCCTGTGCTGCTGTATCCAGCTCCATTCCTCCTGATAAATAAGCTGCATATCTTTATAAACCATCAATTACTCTCTGTTTGTCAGTTTTACAAACTGGAGAAGATTAGTGGGAAGAGAAAGGGAGGGTTTTGCAGCTTGTTTTGTATGGAGGTCCTCATGGTGTCAGGGAGGTGGACAGCTGCTCCTGCAGGAGGGAAGGTGGACAGGGGGACACCCCACCAGGGCACTCTCCTGCTGCTGCATTCTCACCTACAGCTCCTGCCCTAAACCTTGCATGGTCCCAGGTGTGAGGGTACACCCCTGCCTGGTGCTGCCATGTTCGCTGGGTCTGGGGAGCTGATTGTTTCACAGAATCACAGAATATGCTGAGTTGGAAGGGATCCACACAGATCATCAAGTCCAACTCTTAGCTCTGCACAGGACCACCCCTGAGAGTCACACCACGCACCCATCAGTATTGTCCAAACACTTCTTGAACTCTTTCAGTCTTGTTGCTGTGACCACTTCCCTGGAGAGCCTGTTCCAGTGCCCAACCAGCCTCCGAGTGAAGAATCTCTTTCTAATAACCAAAACTGCACACAGGACTCAAGATGAGGCCGCCCCAGAGAAGAGTAGAGCGGGACAATCTCCTCCCTTGCTCAGCTGGTGATGCTTTGCCTGAAGCCCCCCAGGACATGGTTGGCCCTCCTGGCTGCCAGGGCACTGCTGACTCATATTCATCTTGCCATAGACCAGGATCTCCAGATTCCTTTCCAGCATCTTGTTCCCCAGCCTATTTGAACATCCAGGGTTGCCCCATCCCAGGTGCAGAATCTGGCACTTTCCCTTGTTGAACTTCATATGGTTGATGATTGCCCAGTCCTCTAATTTGTTGAGGTCTCTCTGCAGGGAGACCTTTGACTCCTTTCGGGGAGTCAACAGCTTCTCTGAGTTTTGTGTTACCCGCAAACATGCTTAGTATTCCTCCCAGTCCTGCCCCCAAGTCGTTTATGAAGATGTTGAAGAGCACAGGGCCCGCCCAAGATAGAGCCCTGTGGAATCCCACCAGTGACAAGTCACCACTCTGATGTTCCCCTATTCACTGTTACCCAGCGTTAGCTGCTGAAGAATGAGGTCTTCCGCTGGGCTGAAGAGTGCTCTGGAAGGGCTGATAACCACCCTCAAGAGCCTGCTACCAGCAGAGTTCCTCCCCTGCATCCACAGCTCCTTTGCTCAGTCATATGGGATGCTTTCTAAGCTGTGCCAGCTGCAGTGGTTTTGGGACTGAGTTGCCCCTGCCCCAAACACTGAAACTAGCAGAGGTAGCTTAGCACTACATCCCTACTTTACTTCATCCCTTCCTTAGATTTCCACAAAGTGATGGGCATGAGATGCCTGTCATCCAGGTGCATAAAGCTAAGGGAATGAGAACAACCACCTAGAGCTGACTCACCCCAGCCTCGGCACCAAACAGCAACTTTTGAAACACATGTGCACACCCAATTGAGGCCACAAAGCCATCACAAGACAATGCTGCTAAGAGCTGTCCTGCTCTCTGAGGGGTAAGCACTCCTCTCCCAGCATCTGTAAGGATGGCAGGCATATTTCTTGTGCTACCTGAATTTTTCTTTTGACCTCCTATTTAAGCCTTTCTCATAATTTCCATTAAATTCACGAGGAGTTTGTTGCACTGGAAGACACAAAATAGACCTGCTGGGATTAACCTAGGCAACATGCACTTGGCTGAATTACAGTACTGAATTTCTCTCCTGGATATTCTGAGTCTTCTTTGAATGTTGCAAATTAGCATTTCACTTAGACTTATACCAGCAATAGGGGATGAGTGACATTAATATTTGAAAATTCTGTGGTAAATCTAATTTTCACGTTTGCATGCCAAAGCTTAGCATGTACTGAGGCACTTAAAACTGACATATAGATGTTGTAGTTACAATTTAAACGTGTGGCATGTCTCAGCATTTCATGCCCGATATACAAATAGTACAGGGTTAAAACCAATGAGTTGTAAGCATGATGGTATGGCTTCTCCTGAATAATTAGTACATGACAGAACAAAACAATAGCATCTCACAAATCGTGATTATGGTCCATCAGCACTTGAAAAACAATTGGTTTGGTAATTATAAATTTTTGCCTCAAATTTTACTGGCAGGCCACAGGCAGAGTGAAGCATGTCCAGATTATGGTCTCACCTCCAAGGATCAGTATGTAGTCCTAAAGGTGGTGTGAGGGCAGGAGCTGGGTGGTCCAACAGCAATTATCTGAAGTGGCACAGTAATGTCCTACCATATTCATTAGGTTCCAAAAGGTCTGAAAACATTAGGCTTTGATTAATCAGTTTTATGTGCTGTATAAAATTTGTAGGTGATGAATCCCTATGGAAATGTTTCAAGGAAAAGCCTTAGATTAAGTCTCCATTTACAAGCTCTGAAAAAAGGCCAGGGAATGCAGTTCTGGCCCACCATTGGTCCAGTATATTTGGATCCATGTCCAAGGTGATTTACTAGAGAATTTGCAGTCTTTGATTTGCTGGCTGTTAGATGATTTACCATATGTAAGTCATAATGCATCAAATTAAGAAAATAATTGATTTTTAGCAAACCAAAAGAATAGCAATCAAGAGGTAACTCAGACCTTTCTCCCCTCTCAGTATGGGCTGCCTGTAAGAAACTATTTCAGAATGTGATTTATACAAAGACAACTGGGGTAAATACCTCTAAACTCAAACTAAACACTGTTTTTTCATGAACGAACTGTAATGAATGTGACTCAAGTTACAGAGTTAGTTGCAAGCAGACCTGCAATGGGAAACATATGGCAGATTGCACATGTGAAGGATCCCAGCAGGCAGTAACTGCTCGGCTGTAAGCTGTATGGGGGACAACTGTGTGTCCTGGTGAATCGTCCATGGTAAACTACCATAGTTCAATCCATTAAAAGTACTGAAAGAACAAAAAGACCCTCAATATGTCTGAGCTCAAGAATCATTTGCACAACATTCTCAGGCACATGGTGTGATTCTTGGGGTGTCCTGTGCAAGGCCAGGAGCTGGCCTTGATGATTGTAATGGGTGCCTTCCAGCTCAGCGTATTCTATGATTCTATGTGTCCTGGACTCCCCTGCAGTAAGTCAGCCATCATAAGTCCCTCACTTTTGAGATACGGAAGGAGCCCTACAAATAGCTAAGGCAGCCTATGAGAGTGGGCTGGCAAACAGAAGGCAGAATAACTTCCTGGGGAGTTTTGAAAGCAACTTTGAAACAAATTTTATAGCTCAATACAAATCTGGCGAAGGAAAAAGATGTGGCTTTGTTTATAGAAGCAAGAAAAAAAGCTGACAGTAGCATTTTGTGTCCTCTGAGATCCATGTTACTGTCTCACTTCAGCACTTTCCTCCAGACAGGTGTGTACTCACAGAGTAGAAATTTCAGCAGAAGTTAGGCTTTCTCTTTCATTTGAAATTGGTATTCCCAGATCAGATAAGACAAGACTATGGACAAAAAAAATGAAATGCTACAGAGAACTCTGGAATTTCTTACGTACCCTGCCAAGTCCAAGTGAGAGGTTTTTGATAAGGAAATTGCAATCTTTGAAACAAGTAAACAGACAGTAGAACAGAAGCAGGACTTGAGAGAGGAACCCCAGGACACTTGGAAATAATTGGTGTTTTTCACACAACGCACAGTAACATTCAAAGCAGCAAAACAATCATTAAAGACAAAAGCAGCAAGAGAGAGTGCAGGCATCTAATCCTCTGGTAGGATTTTTTGGGGGCGGTGATGAGAGGAAACAGGAAAGTACAAGAGAGGTTTTATCAATGGCCTGCCTGCTTCTACATATGACCTATGGCATTCATTAAATCAATCATATAAAATGTTAATTTTCCTTTAAAATGTCAATTGTTAGGCTACGTCCCTATCTCTTCCTTAAGAAGTAAAGTTAATTATGCATTATTTGTTACAAGTAGTTTGTTTATGCCATATAGAAGACATGGATTGAATAAATACCCTGGGCAAAACATTTCTTAGCACTAGTATTTTTGAATCAAAGGTTTAATTAGGGTTTGGATTAAAATCTGACTACTCTGAAAACTATGCAAGAACTTTATGCAAGAGCACAAATAACATGTAACAAAACCATTCTCTTCCCTGCCATATACCCACAGGAAGATGTAAGTCTTTCCATAAATGGAATAAACAATACTCTGGGGATACTCAGGAATGCTTATAGTGGTTAGTTTTTAACATGATACAATAAAGCATTGTATAGGGATAATATTCTTGCAGAGTCAATGGACATGAAAGTAAAAAGGGTTGAGTCAGGGAGAGGCAGATTTAACCATATAAGAGGCAAATTTAAAAACCCTTGGTTATCTGGGTTATGCTGTACCTTCCTGATGCAAAATATCCGATTTACTGGACCCTCACTTCAGCAGTACTAGAAATTTTTGGTTACCGGGGTAACAAAACTCTATATGCTGGCCTTTGTAAGCGTATGATCAAAGGGACTATCCAATTTCCACCCACTGTGTGCAGGCTGCCAATTTAAATATTTACTACCCCTTGAACTGGCCAGCAAGCAACACAGCAGCAGAGAAGGGTATGAACCATATATGTACTGTCACTGGCCTGGGACATGTTCTGTTTTCTGGAAAACATATAAGAGAAATTTGAAGTGAACATGCTGTGGCTACCTTAGTAGAATAATTTACTATGTGCTCTAAAAAAACAAACATAAAAAAACCCCAACCCAACCAAAAAGCCATTTACAACTATAGTGCAGTAGGAACATTGTTGAGTAATGTCTCAGAGAACTGTCCTTGCTAAAGTGTACACTTGAGCTGCATTGTTTCATTATAGAATAGGAATTCATTAAGCCACTAAGTATTAATTTCCTTTAAAATGCTGTTGTTCTATTATGCTCTTGTTCTAAATATGTATTTACTATCCTTTTCAACTAGGATGAAAATAACAAACTCACAAATGCCTCAATTTCCTCACCGAATCTAGCTTAGTGTTGAGAATAAGCTAGCTTCCCCTCTGCTAAATACACAGATGTATTTATATTTGCTCCCAGCACTCTGTTCTCAGGATTCTAGGTATCAGTTTCTCCTCATCTTTCCAAGTCCATGCTGATTTTTGCTGCCGTTTTTGGTTTCTGTCCAATTTGTTAATATCCTTGTCATAGCATGGTGTCCAAAACTCAACAGTAACCCAGCTGTGGCCTCACAACTCCTGTACATTTACTGTAGCAACGTAATTTCTGTGCAGATCTTTTTCTAATTGTAGCTCTCCTGGTAGGAGATTCACATTCAGTTTAGAAACATCTCAAATCATGCAACTGAACTTTAAAGGAATCTTAAGTACTTGACTTTTACCTACAAGATTATGAGATTCTCAGAACTACAGGTGAGAGAAGCAGAAAACTCAGTGGCAACTACTGCTCCAGTGTTTTAGTGTTTTCTTGCTCTTTTCCTTCATTTTTTCCTCTTTTTCTTTTTTCCTCTGGTGAGAGCCCATTGTATTTAACATTTTACTTCTGGCTTTCTTCTTTTGTAAAGTGCTAGAAAAAGTACTTCATAAGCATATGCTTGTTCAAACACACTTTTCCTTTATCCCTCCCCTGGAAAAAAAATTCTCCATGTTCTAAATAGCTATCTGGAAGAAGTAATACCAATGTGTTCTTCCAGCTCATTATGGAATACACTGAGCTTAGAACCGTTCCTTACAAATTTTATTTACCCTTAATGTTTTGGTAAAAATATCATTAGTAATGCTTTTGCCTTTTTGGCTATTAAATTTATGCAGTGGTTAATTGTTGTAGTGCCTGTTGCAAGGAGCTGCTTAAGGCTGTTAGCAGGAAAGCCTAAAGAGCTGGAGTTGCTTAGAAAGTTCACAACAGATAGTTGACATATTTTCGCTTGCTGTCAGCTAGTGCTCTCATAAGACCATAGACAGCACGAGTGAACGTAGGAGGAAACAATACATCTGCAGACACTGGCAGACAGCACTGCTTGCCAAATTTGGCCACAGTTCCTTTAGATAAATAATTTCTCAGTGACGTGCTGTGTTGAAATTATATAAACAGCAAAGATTACTAAGACCTGGGCCCCAGGGTCTTATGGGTTTCAAGATTTTCTGCAATCAATATTCTGACATCTGCAAATATTTTTCCTTAACAGCTGATGCCAGGAACGGAGCAATATTACCATCACTTTCTATGTGCTCAAGATTTTGAATATATTGAAATAGTGTCTCTTCAGCCCCAGCCCTGGTCAGGACCTTTGCACTGTTGTAACCACCAGTTCATACCACTTATGCAACAGGTACCAAAGCAGCAATCTTTTCTCAGAATGGCTTGTAACCTCCTATAGCAACAACTCCATTAGCATTTCAAGAAATGTACATGGAAAAACACTGTATTACATTTCAGTCCCCAGAATTATCAAGGGGTTTAGAAAAACGTCTGCTGAACATAATGTAGCTTACTTCACACATGGAATGTACAGGGTTATTATGGTGGATTTTCCTACTTAGGACCAGACAATAGGCTCCTAAGTCTGTGGTAAGACTTCCTTGATAATTAAGATACTTCCACTATAACAGTCATACACAGTAGAGCTATCTGAAAAGTGTCTTCTAGACTGAGGAATTCATGCAGGAAACCAGTGTGCATGATCTTCCCCAAACAGAAGCATAGCAGAAAACCTTACCTGGCTAATTTTTGTACAGCATCTCTGGACAAGCTTCTGAAGTTATAAAACCAAATCATTTATTGAACAGATATTTTTTTAAAAATCAGTTTCCATAACAGAAATCAAACCTATGCCCGTCACACGAGACATTCTGAAGGCAGCACCTACTGAATACTGACAGTTACCCGTGGCACTAAGGAATACGGGCTATGCAAAATGAGTACTATGCATTTATTATTACTGCCTAAGTAGGAAAGGCCAGACACAAAAAAAATGTAGTTTTAAAAGTTATGCTTTTCTTTTGATGATATAACCTCCAGCACCTGGCCTCTCCTCTAGCAACACTTCCAAAGTAATACACACTTTGTTCCATTTTCAGTCCCCCATGTACTAAACAGGAACAAAGCAGAAATATGCAAGTATGGAAAAAAGTCTCTCAAGCACTTTCTTATTTCAGTCATACCTTAAGGCAAATTTGTAAATTTTAAGGGAATATCTTGAGAATTAAGCATAGAGCTTATGAAACCCTTTTTCTTTGTTGTTTTTGATCAAAGGTAACTTTTTCAGAGAACAGGTACACACAGCAATAACCCCTCATAAGTGTCTTAGGATAAGACCATGTTAGTGATGTTTATGTAACTTTTACATCTGCACATATTTCTTAAACTGACATTTGCAGTCTAACTGTACAAGACAAAATTTCAGTAGTTCAGAGCACAGTGTGATGTTATTTCAGTGAGTGTAAATGTTGAGGGCAACAAGGTAAAACTGCCTCAGTATCTCATTTCCACATAAAACACATGAAAGGAATAACAGAATACGGGATCTTCTCAGAGTCTTATGTCTTTAAAAAAAGGATGCAACAAAGCCTCCTTTGCAGTTACTCTTGTTGCAGGGTTTAAGTCTAGTAGCTTATCAAGTAAGTCATATGCTTCATCAGGAACCTGATCCCATCCTTTCATGTCAGTTGCCTTAATTTCCAAAGCACCATCATCTTCCTGAAAGCTTTTTTGTTGTTGAATTTGTTTCCCAAGTGCCTCAGGAGCACACGGTTTGTCTGCTGCAAATGGCAAAGCTGAGTCGTTTTCAGACCCCTTGGGCACTTCTCCCTGAGATCTCCTACAGCCACTGTTTGTTCCTCTCAGCTTTTCACAGAGGGTTCGCAGGTTTTGAGTTGGGACAACCTGGGTACACACAACTGATTTACCTGGAGGAAAAAATTGTACAGGTAAGCCACGTTTTATTATACTTTCTATGCAGCTGTAACTTTCAAGTTTGTTTCAGAGAAATTTCATGTCTCGAAGTGTAACCAGAATGAAAGAAAAACACCTCAAACCTATCAAAGAACCAAAACCAACACACATCCCCCTCCCCCGCCCCCCCGTCTCCATACCAGCCATGCTGTTACAGCAACAGTCCCAGCAACTCAGAAGGGTCACAGCCTCAGTTCTGCTCAGAACAAAGCAGTTTGGCTTATGTGAAGTTACGTAGTGACAGGTTGTCAGCCACCCTGTACACCTGATTTTTACACCTTTGTCTGGAGAATGAACACTGATGCTGTTAGTTACACATACAGGTAGCAAGTGCTGCAGCATTTGGCCTGCAAGCAATTAGGGGAATGGTTATTTCGGTTTGTTGTGTGTTCTGCGGAGGTGATTTTCTGTTTTTTAAAAAGGTCAGCTGTTGGGTTTTGGTTTTTTGTTGTTACTAGTTCTTCTTGGGGCGTTGGGGGAAAGCAAGGTTTACATCATCTAAATATTAAGTCATATTGACTTAAGCCTCCAGGACAAATTTTGCAGGAATAGAAACACTGTCTCAAGAATTCTAACCAAATGCCAGTAGAAAACATTTAGTTGGCATATTTCACCTCAAGTAGCCCTGACTTAGTGAAAGGCAGTAGACAGGTTGGAAAAACTGTGGCATGAAGCACCCCATATAAACATTGTAAAAGGTAGAAAGTACAAAAACATCTTAGAAGTCTCTAAATATAGACTAGTACTTCTAGTTTTTACATGCAAAAAGTGTCATTTACTTCCAAAATGACTCTAAAACCTAAAAATATATTTATATACACAAACAAAAAAAAATCAGATTGCAAGTCACAGCATTAAATAACATTTTTCCCCTTTTCCCCATAATTAGGGTTTGCATACCAAAAGTTCTAGCAGCCTGAATGGTTTCTCTGGATCCACGGACTGTCATGATTTGTGCCAAAGCAGTTAAATCATCACTTGCTTTAAAAAATGGATACCGTCCACTGAGCAGAGAAAGGAATATGATTCCTGCAGACCACATGTCAATTGCTGCAAAGAAAAGCAAATTTAGTAATAACTAAACTCACAAGTTCATCACAAACAAAATCACAACCTTCTTTTAAAAGAAATTATGATCTGAGAAGTTCCTATCAGCACAAAGTATGTTCTGACTTTAGTCACATAGATAATTACTTTAGCAAAGAGTGGAAATTACTATAATTAGAATGAAGAACAATTTCCTACTTTCATGCAGAGAGTGTGTTTTTCTTGATAAACTTAAAATGTACCAAAACAATATATAAAGTTGTTTTACCCAGGGAGACGAGATGGGTCAAATGAAATGCCTAGTTTTGATACTTCTTGAACTTCATACAAAGAAAATCTTATATAAAGGTCATAAATAAAAAACAATTCACAAATTAATGTGAATCTGAATTTTTGGGGGAATGAGGCTGTAGGCAGCACTAAGAAATTTATCTTACTATGAACTTTGTTGCTCTCTAATATGAAATCATTTGACAATATAGGCAGTTTAAATCTAATAGGTAAAACTTATTCATCACTTTCACTCTGTTATGAAGAGTACAGAGAGTACTCTGGGGATAGATGCCAAAGCCTGATGGAAACTTTAGTTACAAGAATACCTGTCTGCCATAATTTCTTTGGCTCACTAAGGTGCACATTTTGAGAGATGGTGAGGTTTAGTGAAGGAGTTTGAAGGATTCTCAAACTTTGAAGAGAAAAATTAACAGTTGGGAAATAAAGACATAGTCATCCTGCTCCTCTTCAAAAAAATAAGTAGCAAAATAGGCAGTAATTAATTTGGATGTTTTAATTAGAAATACTCAGCACAGGACTTTGATTTTTTAAAAAAGTGTTAGGTTGACTTAGTTGCAAAGCCAGATTTTACGTCTTTTATTAAAAAATAAAAATCCAAGTTAATCATTTGGCACAATTCATAGCAGAAAAGTTACCTTCTGCATAGTTCCTGTAAAAAAGTTTTAATATTACTGTATCACTGCTGAAAAGATGATCTGTTTGAGGGTTTGTGCATCACCCTGAGGATGTGTTTGAGTAAGCTGGAGCAATCAAGGTCAAGACCTTTGAAAAGGTTTAATTATGTAACTCTTGCTGAAATTAATAGGCATTATACATCTGAATGGCTAGTAAATCCTGGCCCTACAATTCTGGTAGACCTGTGATCATTGACAGACTCCAAGATCCTGTAGAATGACATCAAAATCATGGTTCTCTCCTATGCTTTTGTCTAGTGTTATCTAACTAGTGAGGAAAGGGGAGCAGGACAAACCAAGTGAAAGGGTAATGGACCTGTGTAGCATCAGCTTGAGAGTTTAGGTTGTATTCCCTGCACTGTGAACCTGGGTCCGATGCGCGGTGGTAGCTCTGGATAGAGTCAGCTGGATCCACCTGGTAAGTTGGTCTCAGCACAGAGACCAAAACTAGACATAAGGTTGGCAGGAATACAAGGAGGTGACTCCAGCAGTCCCAGATGGAAGCGGACAAGAATATTTGTTAGTTCAAATAAAACATAATATCATAAATATTAGTATTGGTCTACCCAGTTCTAATTAAGGCCTTTGTTGACATACTACAGGAGCTCAGCACCACTCAGACCTTTCAGGGATGTCAGTGGCACATGCAAGAGTTTCCAGATTTACCCCTATTTTCTGTAATCCTGCTCTCCATTACCCTGGAGAACAGAAAACCACCTGAAAGCATGTTTAACACCAGCATGTGTCCAAGATTTCCCAAGTATGTCTTCTTTCTGCCTAAATTCTGTCTAGACAGATTCAGGGATTGTCTAAACTTGTCCTAGATTTCTGGATGGCTTGCAGCCTATAAAGCTGGCTGTTACAGCACAGGCACAAGAACTCCAAACAAGCTGCCATATCTCTGAAATCCCAGTCATACCCACAGTACAGACATTGGTTCAAATAACAGCAAACTATCTAGGCATAAACTGATCAAATGTATTGTTAAGTCTATTTTGAGTGTGTATACACACTTTAACTACTGAAAATTGTCAACTTTCTCAAAAAGTACTCAGAAAAAAAGTGGCTAAAACCTGTTATTTTAAATCCAGCTTTTGAGGACATTTGAATTTTTCATGAGTCAAAACTCCTAGTCAGACACCAAATGTGTAATGGGTAACTTTGCTTGTATTGGCTCTCCACCCTTAGGTAGGCACAACCTCTTCCATGTTGCTTGCAACACCTAATGCATTAACCATCCCTCTGCTGTGTCCTGATATTTACCCAAACTACTGAATCTTGTTAACTAGACTTTAACACTGAGAAATTAAAATTTTAGTAAGATTATGCTATTTTTACAGACTAGCTATTTAAAGCACTAGTGAAAAGAAAAAATTCTGATAAAAATCAATAAATGATGCTTTCTAGAACCCATTTGCAATTCTACCATTAATTATGCCTGCTATGACAGTAAAGTATGTGACAATCTGTCTAGAAAAGTCTACAGTATGTCCTTTCCCCAAGATTTATTCAAGATCTTTCTTGAATAAATAAGCCAAAAAACTTGATAAAAATTATGGCTTTTTATTTAAAATATATTATATTCCACTCCTGCGTGTGGCCCTAACCCTCAAATGAATAAAGATATATTCGAGTTTCAAACACAAGAAAAATATTCATGACTTGTTCTTCCTCCTAATAATAAACTTTTAATTAAAATCAGGAAATGCTTGATAAGGGTTAGAAGGGATGAAAAAATTAATTTCACACGTTAAAAAAATCCTCCAATAAAAAAAAGACAACAAAATATGCATAAATTAGAAGGATCAAAAGGTGAGAAAAGGCATTTGTTTTGGTCTGTTGTGCAGTACCTGTGGTCTGAGTGGGGCACTTTGTTAACACTTCTGGTGCTCTGAATCCAGGTGTTCCTGCCCTGGGAGCAACTTGTTGAGGCCTTGTAATAAGAAGTAAACATATTCAGAATACAAATGTTGATAAATCAGTTCTAATAACGCTTAATATTATTTTTAGAATATATTTATGTAAGATGTGTAAACAGCCTAACCCTACTTTATTCAAGTTTTATAGAACTTTGAAGCATCTTATCTAGCATGACATTATGTTGCATAAGGCTATAGCCTTATTATATTATCTATTATATTTTTATTGTATTATCTAGCATAAGATAGTACCAGAGAAATACTTACTGCATACTTAATTCACAATGACCTTTTCCAGTTTCATCCAAGAGCAGCATAATTTTTGTTAAAGTCTAGTTTTCATAGGACACTTTGAAGTTGAAACTAATTCACCAAAGGCAAAAAATGGAAGAGATTCTTGAATGTATATGCTCTGGCTTTGTATTAGTCCAGAGCAAAATAAGGTTAGCTCTTTCTGAGTGTTGACAAGATATTACTTGTCATTAACTAAAAGCTGCAAAATTATCATTATTTAAAAAATAATGTGGGGATAAAAGGCAATAGTATATCATAATCAAAACTAACTGCAGAGGGACGGAGTTGAACTGAGCTACTAAGATTCTCTAACAGGAGAATCTGGCACAGGTTGCCCAGAAAAGCTGTGGATGCCCCTGCCTAGAAGTGTTCAAGGCCAGACTGGACGGGGCTTTGAGCAGCCTGGTCTAGTGAAAAGTGTCCCTGCCCATGGCAAGGGCTTGGAACTGCATGATCTTTAAAGTCCCTTCCAACTCAAACCATTCTGTGATTCTATTAGTTTTTTAAATTAATATAAAACAGTCATGTTTGCTTTTTATTCTACATTTCACCATTTCCGGAATCCCAACTGTTGGCATGATTTAGGCCTATAAGATAACAACTAATGACAGATTGATGTATTGTCTTTTCTAAGTGTTGTAATTAACTCAAGCGATTTTCTACAACACATGTAGGTGAATAATTAAATACAACAAAAAATCATTAACAGAGGATCTTAGTTGCTGCAGATAGCAGTGAACCAATTATCCCACAAATTCCATGAACTACTCTTGTTTAAAAAGAGTACTCAGTTTTAAGAGTTTAAGAGATCAAATCCTATCTTTCACCTACTAAATGAACTGTCTAGTAAATCTAAGTTTCTGACTTTGTTTGACAACAGAGTGGACAATTTTACAAATTTTACAACATTATCAAAGCAAATTACCTTGAAAGGCAAACACTGCAAACTCTGTCCGTTGCATAACAGTCACAGGGCAGGTTTAAGGGACCAGCAGCTTTCCTGGCTGCCCCATTGCTCACAGTTTTGGTAAAAATAATCTTCTTCTTTGTTACTAACTTCCTAGATGAAACATCTATCACCCTTGCTTGTTTTATGAGCTGCAATGTAGATATTTTAGAGAAAGTGACATATTTAAAATATTAAGACTGAACCAATGCTCGTGAGCAAGAAGGTGCAATTTTAGGACAGAAGACATCAAATCTTTTTTAACAGTATCACAACATCTATAAAACAGACACTGGAGCTTTCTAAATATTCTGATTTCCTCCCCTTCCCCTTCAGAAGATATTTTTCAGTGTTTACTAAAACCCTATATATATATATATATATTTTAGATATTCTGAAGCTGCAAGCCAAGTATTTTTCAAGTTAGTATAATGTTTCAAGAATTTTTTTGGCTCAATATGAGAATAAGAAGTAAAGAATATGAAAAGCCACAGCAACACTCAGGCACTAACCCTAATTCTACAATAAAATACTCACTGTTGACAAAACCCTCTAATTTAGTTGGGTTTCCCCCTTGTCATATTAGACAAATGACAAAAAAATAGTTACAAGTTTAGTTACAAGTTTTATCCTCAGCTTCATATGCAAAAGAAAAAAAAAGTTGCACAAGATAAGTAGAGGGAGGTTGAGTACTGGAACAGGCTCCCCAGGGAAGTGGTCATGGCATCAAGCCTGTCTGAGTTCAAGAAGTGTTTGGACAATGCTCTCAAGACACGTGGTGTGTTTCTCAGGGTGTCCCGTGCAGGACAAGGAGTTGGACTCAATGATCCTGATAGGTCCTTTCCAACTCAGTATATTCTATGATTCTGTGATCAGTTACACAGATACAGGTACAGGAAAAAAAATTAATTTAGCATCCAAACAAGATCAGCTAGGGAGACAGCTACATAACTAGTTGTTCAAGAGTTTCAAAAGGGACCGAAACAGAAATGAAAAAATCCTTAAGCCTTTGAGCAAAGGCACACTTAATAATCTGCTCAAAAACTTTTCGTTCCGCATTATCCTGGAGAGGTGTCCAGTCTTAAAGAACCACCAGTTCTATAATTTTCCAGATATGTAACAGATTGATCCTACTGATGAGTCATACTTTTACTTTTGTACTTGAGTTCTCCTGGTATGTGGAACTGTAGACATTGAAATTCCTCTCTCCAAAGACAGAGCGCTGGACAGAATGGTGCACAGAGTCCTCCTGCAATAATACAACAAAAAGGACAATAAGGATCCGATCTAACACACAGTCAGCTGGATACTGACAGTTCAAAAAAAAAAGTGTGAAGTGACATAAAACATGAACAGCTGCATGTAAGTCATTTTCAGGCATCAGTTTACTGTGGATGAAGAAAACGTGGTCTAGACAGAACAGCAAACATGCTTACAAAACGAATCACACCTCAGAAGTGCCCCAAGACAATCTGAGTGTAGTCTGTACTGCATTTGTTATGCAATAACTAAATACAGGTGAATAATTATTGGCTTGGGGAGGAGTTTCACTGTACATCTCTCTTAAAAAAGGATTTAAGGCTGTCTAAATAGTAATCTGTGCTAGGGTTTCATACAGCCTTTGGCATTGTATTATATTAAACAGATAATGATGAAGCCAATACAGTTACATAGGAGTAGCCTCTGTGCATCCCTCTGGGGCCCTGCAAGATGTGCACACATGGCTTCTGTGCAAGTATTGCATCTCCCCCTGTTGGATGAAGGAACACATTAAACATATACAACAATATTAATGAAAGAGACTGAGAACCTTTCCTCCTCTTCCTTGTTTAATCTGTGCTTTTGAAAGTGAGGTGGACTTTCTATCAACTGCTTTTGAGGCTGACTGTTGAGCTATCTGTTTAGGTGCTGTGTCACTGACAGAAACCCCATTTCCCAAGGCTACAATGGGATTATTTTGCGAGCAACTTTCCTGCTGGTCTTCAGAGTGGGCAGTTTTCAGAAGTTCAATTTTCGTATCAGGGGTTCCTTGTGCCAAGCCAAAATCTACCAAGGCATATCTGAAAGACACAAATTTAGAATCAGGAGTCATAAAGTATCTATCCATCATTTCAATTTACTATTCATTATTTGCTTACTTATCTTTCTTTCACATTTTGTTCAATATGTTGCTTACCTGTACTACTGCCAGCATCACAGTCCTGTTTTCTTCCTTCGCCTCCTATGTTCCGTCTTAACATATCCCCTCAATGTTTTTTACCCTATACCACTTTACTTCATTGTTTCTTGTCCCAAAATCTTCTCAAGTGCATACTGTCTTCAATGGTGTTAATAAAATATTCCCAGCAACTGATTTCTGGGGTTTTAATCCTACAGCTACAAACCTTCAACCAACAGTCAAGTACAAGTAACTTCACTCTTGCAGGATTCCCACAGGCAGAGGACAAATGTAGAAGTGAAGACAGACAAGACTAACAATGCCAAAATTTTTGACAGACTTCTGGCAAATACTACTGAAATTTGAGTCTTCAAACAGGTAAGACTACATTAGTTCACACTTCAGATCTGTCTTTAAAAGAATTATTTTTTGCTTCAACCAGCACAGACACAATCCACCAGTCCCTGGGACTCAAACTTAATTCCATGGCCTCCACACACAAAGCAGAGATTAAGGCTCAAACAAATACTGGAATGTGACAAATGCTGTCACAAAGTGACAGTACAAATTCATTTTGACAGATTTAAAAGAAAAAAAAGAAAACAGTATTTCTCAAACTTTTAAGCTTCAGGTTTGGCAAAATGCAATCAAATCTTCCCTACAAAGTGTCACTACTCAGAATCATAGAAACATTTAGGCTGGAAAAGACCTCTAAAAATTGAGTCTAACTGCCAAGTCCCACAAAGCCATGTCCCTAAGCACTACATCTACAGGTCTTTTAAATCCCTCCAGGGATAGCGACTCAACCACTTCCCTGGGCAGCCCATTCCAACGTTTGATAAACCTTTTGATGAAGAAATCTCTCCTAACATCCTAACCTTCCCTGGTGAAACTTGAGGCCATTTCCTGTTGTCTTATCCCTTGTTACTTGGGAAGAGACTGGTGTGCACCCTGATAGAACCTCCTTTCAGGCAGTTGTAGAGAGCGATAAGGTCTCCCCTGAGCCTCATTTTCTCCAGGCCAAACACCTCCAGGTCCCTCAGCTGCTCCTCATCAGACTTGTGCTCAAGACCCTTCACCAGCTTTGCTTTGGAGACGCTCCAGCACATCAGTGTCCCAACTGTACAAAGCACGGTACTCACAAATACAGCTCTAGGACTGCTGGCACTGATGCATTCTGTCCATTTCAGCTCTTCACAAAAAGGCAGAACCTCAGTTTTTACAGTCTTTAAATATTGTAACTTGCAGGCAAAAAAGCCAACCCTACTAGTTATGAACATTAATTCAGTGTAAGGTGAAAATAGCCCAAATCCAGCTATCTTACCTGTATCAGTTTTACTCTATCCACTGTTAAAAATGTACAAGTATCATTCTTTGCACCACAAACTTACAATTAGCTTTCTCTTTAAAAAAAATACTGACATAACTCTTCTTGTTCTTATTTGTAAATGTAATACTTTCACTCAGTAGTAAAATCTTCATTTTTTCAGGTACTTGTCACTCTGTGAAGCAGATATTATCTTAAGTTAAAAAAAAATCCTTCCCTCCTTAAATCCCTAAACACTGAAAGAAAAGTATTACAAATTAAAAAAACCCACCTTTTTTAGCTTTATTACTTAAGCACGTGTTATGCAGCTGGAAGGAAAGACGCCTAAAAGCCTAATAGACTCTGTTCTGCCAAGGCACACATCCCCAGATGAGATCACAGTATGGTCAGACTTACTTTTTTAGCTGCCTGTTGTAGAGGAAGTTACTGGGCTTGACATCACGGTGAACAATACCAAAGTGATGAATGCGCCTCAACGCTTTGAACAGATTAAACATGTATTCCCTCACTTCTTCGAAGGAAAGAGAATTCAGAATGTCCTGAAAGATTATTTGGATACTGTAATTCATAGAATCATAGAATAATTACAGAATAATTATGCAACTGCTCTTAATCAAATGTTTTACTACACATTAAAACAGACTCACCAAGAAGGATTCATGTTCCAGGTATGGCATAACAATAACCACATGATCATTTTTCCTAAAGCAATATTTAACTCCCATAACATTATCTTGTCCCCTAGAAGAAAAGTAATGTTACTGAATAAAGACCAGAAGATGAACATTTATTTTCCTTTATTTCTTAAAAAATTCAGTCAGGCTTTCTTTTATAATCCTAACTTATATTTTGACAGCAGTCTTATTAGCAATCAGTAGTTGTGCTGTTGCTGCTCATTGCTATGTTCCATTTGAGTTCTGCAATTTGCAATGAGGGCACCACAGATTATTTGTGGGGCCGTGGTTTGTAGTTACTGCTGTAATTAAGTATAGGACCTAACCTTCATGATCCAACTACTTTAAGAAGGTGTTATTCAGCGCACTCTGGCAACAAGTATTCGTTCCTAAAACCACATTTTCTAATGAAGAGATTCTTTTTTTCAAAGCATTTCAGAATTGGAATTTTTGTTATCACAGAGAAACATCATGGAATTTCTCAGATGGAAAACAGAGCACCCTCTGCAAACTGAGATTAGCAGAAAAGGGCATCCGTTACAGGTAAGACACTCCATTTGTTATTTGCTCTCGATAAAAAGAATTTTCATGTCTGTGGTTAAAAAAAAAGCAAGAGAAGTGCCAAAATTTAAAATAAATAAATACAGAGCAGTGAGACAATGTTCAGCAGTTTAGTCATGACAATCATAATTTTTTTGTTTATGTACCCTGCTACTGTGAGGCACTGAAGTTCAGCAGCAATTCGCAGAGGGTGGCTGGTTGGAATCAAGTGTTTCAGAGCCATTTTTTCCTCTAATCCAGTTTGTAGTTGTGCTGTAGCCAAGTAAACAGAACTAAAAGTACCTGTAAACAAAGAAGAAAAACACTGTCTTTAACATTTTTAATTAGGTCAATGCAGCTTTTTACAGAAGTGATGTAACTGTTCACAATCCTGCAGTGTACTTGATACTACATCAAAAGCAGATTCTAAAAGAGAAAAATCCAGTTCCTTTTTTCTACTACTGAATTCCGTGATCTTGTATACAAGTTTTTTATGTCAGTAAAAATGCAAATATAACACTGTCTAACTTGCCTGGGACACAGAGCTCTTTGAATGTAAATTTCCTATCTTTGATTTGCTTTCTTGTTCAGGTAGCTTACTTTCATCTGACATCCAACTCCTCTCTCTACAATGTAAGAGGACTATATAATGCTAATGTGGAAGGCACTGCCTTTGCTATTCAAAGCACTTCTGAAATTGCTACATTTTTTCTTAATTCTGTACCTTATCTATAAAGTAAGGCTTCTCACATGATGTGTGACTCCTATTGTTTGTTTTCCCAGAGCATTAGCACAAAGAATGTGACAGATTCATCTGAGAAAGGGATTTTTCAGGCTTCACAATAAACTTACCCATCCATTTAATTTTAAGGATATCCTAATATACCTCTTAGGAGGTTAATTCAGAACTGAGACATCTGAATACACAAGTTGAAGTGTTCTTCCATATGAATAAAGAATACAAATTACTTTTAATTACATTTTAAGTATTGTGTCTGCATCATGCTAGTTCAAGAGTCTGAGTAAACACATACATAAAAAGGCCAGCAAAAACTCTGAAATACTTTTTGCACTCATTAAAAAAAAATAAAAATCTAGAGACCCATGCCTTCAATATAATTGATTACAGCAACAAGAGTTACCAAGCTGACTTAAGACATTATTTTTGGTAGTGAGAACTGCTAAAATGAAAGTGACTCCAGAGTGGAATACTAAGTTGAAGCTTGTTTTCTCATAATGCTGCCAAACTGCAAGTGGTATTTTTGAAAAGCATTGTTTGCTCCCAAGAGTAAAATAAATAGACTTCTCACGTAAAGGAGAAAAAGAACAGAATGTTAAGACTTATTTACTTGAATCTACCTCAAAAATTTTTAATTGTCAGAATTGCAGTGTTGTTTTAGAAGGCTTTAATATACCAGATTTTCAAGAAAATAGCTTGAAAATGTTCCTAATTAACACACCTATGCGCTCAGCTATTAGAATTCCTACAGAGACCAAGTAGTAAGTCAAACAGGAATTTGGATTAAACTGCATATATTGGGATCTTAGATTTATACTTTTTAAATTAGAAATGCCAAAAGAAATCTAAGTCTAAGCAAGCTAAAATGAAACATTTACCTTCTCCAATTTTTTCCTTAATTTTGAACACATTTACAAGCTGTGGCACCGCTTCATAAAGTTTTTCAATATCTTTTTTTATTCCTGTGGTGGAAAGAACAGAGAAAATAAGTTAGGAACTTTATTACTTGATTCAATATCTGATGTATATTTGAGATCACAAATTACACTTCAGTTCACAGGACTATGAATTCACATATACAGAGGAAAAAACAGCACAAAGGTATCTTATCCCTGCTGACGTTACCATCTGCATACTTGATATTGTTATTCATCCCACTCCCTTATAAGCTGCAGCATTTAAAAAATTATTTTTTACTCATCTGATACCTAGGAGATCCTGAGAGGGCAAAAGCCTTCTGATTAGTACAACATCTACAGCTCATTGCCAAATGTTTACATGAGATTTGCAATATCAATTTCACACAGGACAAAACCGTAATAGTTGTTTCTGTAAGCACAGGTGCATATCCATCAGATGCATATCAAAAATGCAGAAGAGGAATTATTTTTTTATATACTTTTAAGATCAATAATGCAATCTTTCACACTTTCTTAAAATAGTAAACATCAAAACCCATGTTTGGTCTGCATTTAAGTTGCTGCACTTTGTGCTGCAATCACTAGATGGCACGACAAGGATGCTATACTGTATTATTTTAAAAAAATCACGTAGTCTTCCATTCAGTTTACAAATTCTTGTATTTTAAGTGTTTTCTATACCCTGCATAAGAATTCACTTCTTTTGAAGCTATCAAGTATGTAGAGGCTGTGACTAATTTCTCTGAAGCGGGGTAAGGAATATTTTATTATATAGAACTAAGCACAAACTGGCATTTGAAAAGTCAATCAAATAGAAAAATAAGTGTACATTTTTCATTCTAAAAATAAATAATGAATTAATGACAGTTTTTGGGTTGTTCTGTGCCATTAGTCTAACAGCCCTAAGGTATATACTAAGAATCATGGAAAGCTCCCTCAACAACTTCTGTAGAATCTGCCAAATACTCTGTTTTGTCTGACATTGAATTCAGATTCCACCCTGAACAGAATTCAGTGCTGTCAGAGCACTTCCAGTGAGGTGACAGGCTGCAGTGCCTACCCAAGGCACTGGAAGCGTTTAGGAAGTCAACAGAGCGGCCTGTGTGAAAGATCCTGAGAAGTGCTAGAAAAAGTCAGTGACTGTCCTTGTTGATAGACAGCAGTACAAACATCACCTAGTCTCTTCTCAGGGCCCAAATACCCAGTTGGGTATAGAGAACATACAGTCATTGTACCATCAGTGTATAATAATAGTAACATCCAACATTTTCTGTGAGCAGATTTTAAAGTAATTTCTGTATTTGCCAAGCAAGACAAACACTATTCAGCATCACTCGATGTAATTCTGAACATGGATGTGCAGGAGACTGACAGGCTATCTATTTTAGAAAAATCAGTACCGTTATATATATAAGCTGGCTGATCATCTGAGATTACTGAGCAAGCATTGTACATAAAGTCCAGACTCAAGTAAATACACAAAGAGACCAAAAAATGAACAGCAAAACCACTATCAGAACACATGTTCTTAGTTCAGCTTCTACAAAGAAGAAGGAGTGTTTTTATGCACATAATCACATCTAAAGATATTGAAGGATAAGGCCGGCAATTATAGGTTAAAAGGCAAAGTATTGGGTTTGTGCACTTGTTTGGTCAGAGTTTTATTCTCCAGGGCTAGCTTTTTTGAATTCTAGTATCCTCTTATAATAACATATTCTATAATAAATAAATAGTAAGTTTAGCAAATTGTGACAAATTGTAACACACAAAAAGCAGGAATAAACTTAAAATCAAAAGCCACCTCAAATGTTTTCATTTCATTAATTCTTTATACACCAGGACCATATACAGACAGGCTTATAATCTATATTGAAACTTCCTGAAGTGATGAAGCAGCATGCCAGCAACAAAACATAATGTTAACAATTCCTATTTCAGCGCATACCTGAAAGCTTGCTGTTCTGCTCAAGCTTCCTGTGGAAGTCTTCAGCCTGATGAGGGTGCTGTTCATCACGGTGAGACTTCAACATCGTCTCCATCACAAAACAAATCTCAAGTAAAAAATCCAAGACTTCGAGGGCCACTTCTGGACACCTGGGGGAGCAAGCATATCTGGTAAGACACTTCCTGGCCTGGCACTCAGTCCTTAAGATGAGATTTAGGGAGTCTGAGGAGTTCCTCTGTGTTACCTAAAACAACAAAGTGTCATCCATCATCCCAGAGAAATACCAAACCAGTAAACCCACTCTATCTCTAGTAAAAGGGAAGAGGGGTGAAGGGAAGAAAGACTGCAAGATAAGCTTAGATAATGATTTTCTTTCATCTTTCACATTTCCTCATTCATATTAAAGCATTGTCTTTCCCCTGAAGTTTGCTTTGAAAGGCAAGGAACTGATGCACACAGAAGTAGCTGCATTGCACACTGCAACAGCTGTAGAAAGACAGAAAACCTGAAAGAAATTATAAGAGAAAAAAATATCTTCTCAATACAAGAGATTTCTCTCCCTCCTAGATAATCTCAACAAAAGGCATAATTATTTGTTGTCCTCCCACCATAACAAGAAAAAATAACATAGGCTTATTTTGAAGTGCTTCTTCCCAAATATTGGGAATACTACATAAAACTGCAAATTAGTAAATTTACAGTTAATACCGTACAATCAAAAAACCCCCAATAATTCTATTTCATGAGTGAAAGAGTGGCAGGAAGCCCCAGGGCAGAATAATGGGTGATAAGTGAGCCTGGAAGCACCACCTCTGACAGTTCCCCACAGTAGTTGCATTCAAAAATCTTCCTTGCTTGTTACTTTGTCAAACCTTCAAAGTTCTGGATGAACTTTTCTACAGAGGGGAAACATATTCTGGAAAACTTCCAGTGAAAGGATTCATCTCTTTCAGCTATGAGCTGGAAATACATTTTGTCCCCAAAGAATTCGAGCTACCTTTAGTCTGTCATCCACGTGTAACAGAACAGGGACAAGCAACAGCCTCCTTTTTTGACAGAGCTTTGCTGGAGAGTGGGACTTGGAAACTACTGGAATGAGATTAGAGAGGTTTCTAGTCTCTTAGAGACAGACACTCCTTCTGCCAGTGTTGAGCAGGCGGATGAGCCTGTTCCAAACCTGTAACAGCAGGGCCTCACCGGCAGCACAAAGAGTGCAAGTTAATACGGATACTGATACAGTAAATCCGTCTGTTCCAAGACAGGCAACAGCCGTCCCGCCTCCAGCACTTCATTTCTCACCGGTGCTGTCACCGCGGCCAGACCAAGGGAGCACCCGGGGCTCGTCACCGGCTCTGCGGGACAGCCCCTGACGGCGAGGCCGCGGCCCGAGCGCCCGTCCCAGGGTTCGCCACCGGCCGCGGGACTCACGGGCGGGCGCAGCGGGGAGAACACGGGACGGGCCCTTCAGCTGCGGCCGCGGGGTCGCCGCTCAGCACCGCAGGGGAACGGCCTCCGCGGGGACCGGCCGGCAGCGGAGGGGTGGGGACGCGCGGAGCGGGTCCCCCACAGGCGGAGAGGCCGCGTCCCCGCGGAGGGGCCGCGCCAGCCCCGGGGCCGCCATGGACGGGGCCGCGGGTTGGGGGGGGGGGGGGGGCGGGGGGGGCGGGCGGGGGTCGCGCGGGGCGGGAGGGGCTCGCGGGGTGGCTGACACTCACGCGGACACTGGCGCGCGCCGCCCCAGAGTTTTGCTGCTGCCGCCCTTTCGCCGCGCGCGCGCCGCCGCCAATCCCGGCCCTCGGCGGAAGCCGCGGCCCCGGCCAATGGCGGCGCCGCGCGGGGAAGGACGTGCTACGATTGGCCGGGCGCCGGGGAAGGGCCCGCCCACAGCGGCGCAGCGAGTTCGAAGCGGGGGCGGGCGCGAGTCACCGGTGCCGCCCCCCGGGCCCGGCGCCGTCGGGGCGGGGTGTTGTACTGGTGTTAGTGCCCCTTGCAACAGTCTTTGGCCCTTAGATTTTCTTTTTTGCTTGTGGTTATTGCGAAATAATTACTGTCCCCAATAAGATCTTGTCCTCATTAGCTCTGCTGTGAGTTCAGTCAAATAGCCCAGAGGCCGTGGAGCGGCCTCGCTCACACCGTAATAACGGGGAACAGCTTGGCTTGCAGCTTTGCCTTATTACCTGATTACACAAGAAGAAGGATCGCACTGAACACAAATTGAATTTGCATGTTGGCTCTGGTCTCCGCTGTAACCACTGACTAGCAATGAGCAGGAGTAGGAAATTTAGTGGAATAATGTTTTGCTGATGTTTGAAGTAGTTGGATTTTACCAAAACCAATGCAGTTGCCTGTCTGCAAATAAAAGAATTAGCACTTTTTGTCTTTTATCCACTTTCATCAATTTTTAAGGTAAAATAACATTGCTCTTGTTAAAGAGTAGCTCCCCTGCACGCGCTGTTGCATAGATCTCTTGTTTATTGCATACTTCAGGTAGGGACCTGTAACTGCAGCCCTTAGTAAATAACAACCAAACCTGAGGTTGACAAAGTTTCCAAGGCAACATTCTAATGTGACTTTACAGTATAACGAGCTGTGCTTAGGCCAACAAATTGTTAAAAGCAGAAACAAGTTCCACCACTTTTGCTAATTTGCGTTTCGTATTATACAGTCTAAAAGGAGGGTGCAGAATCAAGTTGCTGAGCTGCTTTGGTGGTTTTCAGCGGTGAGGTTTGATGTGTGCGGGGTTTTTCCCAACAGTTGTTCTAATTTACACTTTCTGTTTAGGGCTCTAATAAGCCAGGGCAGCAGTTTGACATTAAGCAAAGTTAAGTATGCTAGCTCAATAATTTCAGCTAAGGGTGACAGTATTTAAAAGCAGATTATACTAAACATGAATTAAATGAGGGATAATGACAAAATAATGTAGGCCAAATTCTGTTCTTTCTTGCCTATCCTCTGTTTTTAAGGCGGAAGTTCAGTCAAATTGACTATGACTCTCCTCATATGAATGTCTTCTCAAAAGTCACTTCATCAATGTCTATCTCCATGTACATCTTCATGGGAGAGTGACAGATTAGGTGTACCTTTTCCACTGTATTTCCTCAGTATTTGCTTAAATATCTCCAGCTTATTTTTGCTTTATTTTGAATTAATGTAGAATAGGTAAAGACACAGCTTCTGATTTGCTTCTGCACAACTTCTGTGCCTTTCCTACAGCAGGAGACACTCCTTTCCTGTTGGCTTGGATTAGCAGAAACTCCTTCACTCTTGGGGCAAAGAAGGCTCTACCTTATCATTCAACAGTGAGCTCTAGTTCTAACAATGCACCACAGTAGGAACTTCTTGGAAGGAAAGAGAAGAAATTGCATCAACAGAATATGACAAACAAAGCAGAACATCTAATGCTCTGTGAGCCTAACTGCTGCATTGTCTTGTGGCTTTATCTCTAGGTTGGTATGAAGGATGAGAAGCCAAATGACAACACAGGCCCATGCAGAACATTCCTTATGGCTGACAAGCCATCACCAAAGCCCACCTCTGGGAGCTTGCCAAGAAAGGATCCAAACATTGCTGTGTGATTGCATCCACTGCTGCCAGAATCTGCAGTTGAATCAAACTTTTTGTATCTGCTGACAGGCCTAAAAGAATCCATGCTGACACTAGAGCACATCTATTAACCGCTTCCTAGGTCAATTAAACTAGAAGCCTCTGCGTGTTTGTACTGTCTTCCAGCCTTGAAAAACTGATAAGCAAGGTCCAGTTATGCAGGTACCAGTTGGAAGGTAACTGATGAACGTATCCAGCACAAACAGAGGTAGGAGATCCTTAACCTCCCCTTGATGCCAAGAACATCTGTTCATAAATTAGAAACCAGAAACTACTTGGAAATGAGCAAATAAAAGTATATTTAATGGCAGTATTAAAAATATATATACATATATACAAAATTCAATTTTAATGACAGTAGAGACTATTAAATGTACCATTCAGTTTCCATTAGCCTGAATGACACATGCTTTCCAACTTTTATTTACTCTTTCTGTTAGCAATATGATTCTATGGCAAAATTTTGCTCTCTTTGGCACCAGGTTGAGACAAATCTCTTCATGCTATTGTGCCCTTTAGGAATACTGTCAAATTCAATCATTCAGGACTCATGAGTCTTGCACTAACATGAAGAGATTGATTTGAAAACCATGGGACTACGTTCCTTTTTTTTGTTTTTCATTTTCCATTTCCATTCCTTAACCAGGAAAGCTGAGATTGCCAGCTTTGCTCTCACATGCAAATGAGCATGGCCCTAGAATAATGCTCTTGGATGTGGCAGTGACTGTGTCTGCCAGCATTTTCTGATCAGTTATATCTGAAATATCAAGAATTATTGTGGTGTCAGAAAACATACCACAATATAGCAGTCTCTACGGCCTATTTAAAGGCTGTTAAAAATAGACATAAAAATTACTTCAGGCAAAGATACAGAGGAATTCTTGACCTTTTATAAACTGGATCTCATTCAAACAATGTACGTTTTAATAAAATCTATCAATATATACCTAATAAGGAATGTAGGCTCTCCTACACAATGGAAAAGTTTAAAAAGGACAAGCTGAGTAAGCTGATGAGTTTGCTGTAGCAGAAAGGGTTTGTGCAAACCTTGACTTATAGACAGAGCACAGCTGTTAATGCTGACAATTTTTACCTGTATGTGCAAAGTTATGATGGTGGTTGAGCCAGTTCTGATACTCATATTGCAAGATGGATACTGGAAAAAATGAAGTGAGTATAGAGAAGAGCTATGGAATGATCTAAAATCAGAGAAAATGCCATGTAATTGAAGAACTAAAAATCTTAAACTACTCACTGAACCAAAAAGATTGAAAGATAAGTTGATAACAATGTATACATATATGCACAGGGAAAATATTGAATATAAGGGCCACTTGAACCTACCAGAGTTAAATAAGAAGGAGTAATGTCTAGCAGCTGGAATTAAGCAAAATAAAATAGTGTACTGTTCAGTACCTAGTTCAGTACCACTGATAACAAATAATCCTTGGAATAAACAAGGGCTGTGGTTGATTCCTTGGCTCTCAGTGTCTTCAAATTGAGACTCAATGCCTCCCTGAAAAATGCAGGCTATCCAAACACAGGCTATGTTTTGTTGAAGTCCAGCAGGCTCAGTTCATGGTAAAATAACAGTTGCCTGTAATTTACAGGAGATAAGAATATACTCCCATAGTCTCTCTTCTTTAGACTTTATAGATAAATTTCTATGATTTATAAACTTTCCAAAAACTGTATAAATAATTCTTTTCCTCCTATCACCCCAAGTTTAGCTTTCCTTTTAATGTATGCCTCATCTGTATTTGGCTATCCTGTCCTACTTGCACAGCACTGTGGCTGGAAAAATACCACTGACAGGTTATGGGAAGATGGGCACACACTTCTTGTCCCAGCTCCTGAGACTGCACAACATCTCTCAGAGAAGTTTCTTAAGTAGTGCCTGTGGCCTTCACCTTTATTTGACCTCTAGGAGAATGCATTTCATCCAGCTCAGCTCTCTCTATAGCTGCTCTTTTTCAACCTTTAGAAGAAAATACACAAAATCAGAGCTTTCCTCTGAAAGTAAAGTAAACAAGTAAAAATCCATTTACAGTAATTTAAGTATTCTTATATTTGCTGCAGCTTTAGTGATTATTTACAGCCTAACAGGAATATTGGGCTTGGCCAAACTGGTACCTGCATAACTGGCAAAACTGGCATCTTATGTGCATTAGCTGTGTGCTTTTACTTTCCTGCTGTTGTATATTGCCTCTTTGAATGTAGACCTAGAGTTTTCTTTGTTATTTGTTATATTTCACCAACACACAAGGTTTTTCTCATGGTTAAATACGAGATTCTGGTCTCCTAATAGATATGTAGATAACACTGTGCTTTTGCTCCAGTAGCTGACATAAGGCTGAATCTGGTAACCTCACTTACTGAAAAATTGTGTTGTCATTGGGAATACTCACACATGTAAAATGAGCAGGACTTGGCCCTTTGGTCATATTTTTGTAATAAAAGATAAAATGAGATTTTTAGGAAACTGCAACTTATGACCATAATATTTATGAGGCTGTCAGGACTGCACTGTAAAAATTCATATTATTTAATTCTTCACTCTGACACTAAAGCATCATTTCATTTATATGCAAATAAGAATATACTCTACTGCTGTTTCTTCACTGAAGAAGCTGTTTGAATTATTCAGATTTTATTAATAAAGCTTCATAAA